GTATTAACATCATCACTTTACACATAACGATACTGTACCCTGAGGACATATTACATAGCGCCACATACTCGACGTCTTGACCCAAATACGTTTTAGTCATTACATCGTGCCTATCACTCGAAAGAGTCAATCGCGTCCGGCCGCAGTGCGGTTAGATGGGTTTAAATTTGTTCAAAGGGAGCAGAAGAGATTCACAAGGATAGCCAATATACTTCCGCGAATGGCGCTTCAGAAAGAGCCTCAGAAAAAAGCAAGTAAGTAAATAATGATACTGAACACAATGAGGAAGTAGCGAATTCTTTGGAGGGTCTGTGATCCAAGCTACATTTATCCGGAAAAACATGTTCCAAAATAGGCTCTCACCTCAGTAGAGTGTTACGAGACGTACCCGCAGGCGTCTGAGAACCCCGAAAGGGTGGGGCATTAAAAGGCATTGATCAACAGAAAGAGGCTATACGGTCCGTGCAACAGGTAAGAATCCAGCCTTGGTTTCTATGAACTACTAGCGCCCAACTCCGAAACTAATAATGTTGGACATCGTCACGGTTCCGCGAAAAGCAGAAGAGAATTCGGAGTGACTGAAGAAAGCCCATTAAAAGATTCCTGGAGCGATAGTTGGGCTGCGAACAGCGGGACGGGGACAAGTGCGGTGGAACCTCACTGCTAGCTAATCGATACCGACCAATAATCGATTTCTAGGAGGAATTCGAAAACCGCGAAAATTACTCTCACTTACCTTTATTGCTCGGCTAACCATAGCGATCATCATCGGTTTTGTATATACACATATCGTGAGATGGAAATTCTTCCCTGAAATTGTTCACTAATGGTAATGTGATTTAAAAGTTATTTGATTAGTTTATACTTTAATAACGATTACAACATTGATGTATAAAACTGTGATATAATTTACATATATTGAATCTTTCTTGAATAAATTTTTTGTTTTATTGATTTCAAGGAAGTAGTCTAGTTTCCGTTTCGCACGTGCCCTTAGATTGTTAGATAGAGATAAGTTGTTAGATTGACAGTTTTTCAAAGATGCCTTGCTTATTGTATTTACAAGGATTTGCAATATTTCTAGGTAAGGTACAATATCGTTGAAAGTGACGACGAGACAGTGAGTGACAGAGACCGAGAGTAAGGATAGAGTGCGAAATTTTTGTTTTCTCTTTGTTTTCGTGCCGCAGGGATCAACGAGCTCGTCGGTGCTGACCAAGGTGCTCAGAAAGGACCTCCATGACGAAAGCATTGCTTACATTGGTATTTATGGGCTTTCACGTCAACAGACTCCACAAAACAGAAGTTCGAAGTCAGCCCTTCAAGGAAAATCTGTATGATGGGAAAATGCGACGATATATAGTGGGCTAGCCGTAATTGAATATCACTTAGAACCACGCAGTCTTTTCAGTGCCCACCCTGCCTCCCCGTCCACGTAGCTGCTAGTGGTTCGCTTTGATGTCGAAGGACGGAGGATGTGTTCCAGTCCGGGACATGCCGGACTACCACGTTATCACCGAGAGGAAAAGAAGACACATGAGTATCCACATTGATGATAGTCCGTAAATGTGGGATTTCACCAAGCGTTGAAGTTCACGAAGTCAGCACACCACAAAAGAGAGGTTCAAAGGTGTACTATGTTTGCTCCCAAGCATCCATTAAGTAAGGCGGAGCTGGTGTAGTGGCAAGGGGGCACGGTTACCACGCGCACGGTCCGGGGATCAATACCAGGGTCGGCTCCCACCAAACCAACCAAGCCTTCTGCCCTCAGTGGACGGCAAATTGGTACCGGATTCGCCTACAAAGATATAAATACTGATGTACACCTGCTGTTCCCTACAAGTCATTGTATAGGCCACATCGCATTCAATAAGCCACTACGATTCTGAATGGAAGTAGAATGCGTGCCGCATCCCACAAAGGGATTGATTAACGGCGAAGACTTTATCATTTCATTCTTTTATCCATTAAATATCCTAAATGTTTCACCACTAAAAATCGTGAATTATATCCGAACCGACATTGTGTATGACTTTTTTCCCTTTGGCCCGTTTGGCAGAACTGATAGCATGATGCTTCTCTCTTCTTGGACTAGCCTTAGAACACAGCTTCATCTCAGAACCCAATGTTCCCTTGCTGTGTTGGGCTTCTTTCTGGACATCGTAGTTTGAGGATGCGGTTTTGGATGCCGTTATCTCGTACATCTGGCGGATAGCCTGCGGATAGATTTGTATCGCCCCGACACGGTCGCCATCGTCGTCATGGTCGTCGTCGTTATAGACGGAGTGCGGACAAACGGTGGCGGCTGTCCGATAAGGATCGCGCATTCATCTCTTCTCATGTCGCCCACAAATCTGTCCATGTTCCTCGGATGCATGGCGATAACAAGGGGAGCGCGGTCAGCGGGTGACCTTTTTCCTGGTGTAGAGGAATCGGGAATCGGTCATTAGCTAATTATGGACTAAGGAGCACGAGGACAAAAATGCTACCTGCAAAATAGGTGACTATGTATAGTCCAAATGGTATTATCACCCGTCCACATATGCTTGCCAATACAGGCTCAGATTTCATTCGAAGGGGGTACATAATGCTAGCTTGCTTTTTGTAAAATCCCGAATGGAAGGCCAATGCAATTTTTTTGTTACGTTACGTACACATGGCACTTCCTGTTTCCTATTTACGGTAACGGTTTAAAAACCCACAGTCACCGCTATCGGGAGGTTTCTATGATTCTCCCATTGGCCCTACAACCCATAACCAATAGCTGAAATAGTCTAACAGCGACCAGTATTTGGAGAGTAATCTGTCGAGCTGAAAGGAACGGTCCGCGGTGATCTACGAAGATGCAAAAGATTTTGTGGGAAGGGCTGCGGGGTACGCAATGGACAAGTTGTGCCAGTTTCGAGGCGGAGTTTCGAGGCGTGAGGTAAAAGAGTTGAACCGCAAAGTTGCTCCAGTGACCCCTCCCCTTTCCCAGCGACTCCGCCTCCGAACTCCGTCTCCATAGTCCACCGAAAGCGACAACGGACAACTTGCACAAAATGGATGCTCTATTGTCTCTTGTCGGTGTCATAGGTTTTACAAGGAACCGGCCGACCGGACTCGTGTCAATACGCGGTCTTTTGGCCTTCACCCCACAACTAATGACGCTGAACGGGCCCTATTGAACGCGTTTCCGAAGTCTCCTTCGTCATTTTCTCCCCACAGACGAGCCACGTGGCCACTTTCCTTCCATATCTGAACACCACTGCCTACGCTCCTTATCGCGGACAGTGCCTTCAGGCCATAAGGTACGAAACACTTCAATCCTGCCCCTTCCACTGACAAAAGGCTATTATATCTTCGACACGACTTCGTGGGCAGTGACAGGGTTGGCTGTTCGCATGTGAAGGACTCGTTCTCAGGAAAGGTCGTAAAAAAGAACCCATACGGAGGAACTGTCCGGTTTCCTCAGCTGCAAGGAGTTCCACCGCTCCCCTCAATGAGTCTGCCATCGCGGCGACAGTGGCATGCGACCGCGACGAGCGCGGTGATCATTATCTATAACCAGCGAACATTATTTCCACGCGCAAAAACGCTGTTTACGTGCAGATTACGGTAGTGCGCTGAGAGACGCTGGAAGACAAGGAGACGACAGAGTAGTAGAGCAGAATGAGTGTGAATCGGCAGTTTGAACGCAAAAAAGCACAAAGAAAGCAGTTGACTGGATTAAACTTGGTGGCACGTAGGCACAAACGAACTATAAAGAGAGCAATTATTATTGATCAATTATTGATTGGTAGCAAACCTCTGCCGCTTTTCCCAACGAATCGCAAATCGCTAAATCGTGCCACCTGACGAATGACTTTGGCGGTATCGTGGCGAACTTCACCAGACGGTGTCTCGTCATTTCCGGCAGCCACGGTGACTGTAATAGAGGTTCGTTTACGAAAACACATTACCGTAACCCAACTGGTCATAAACATGACCCTAATGCACTTGAAATGATCACATTTGCTGTTGGAGCAGGTTTTATCTGCGACATAAATTGCTTGTGGTGTAATCGTTTCCCATTCAAATCTTTCAACTTCTGAACATAGCTTGCTGAAGTTGAAGTTCGCAGATAAGTGCGATCCCCACTCGGCGGAATCCCAATGACGTCCCACAATGCGGCCACCTGTTGCAGGTGATTGTCACTTGAATGTCTTGTCCAACGACGCATTTTTAGGCGATTGAAGCGGTTTACAGTGGTCGTGAGGCTATTCGTCTAATGGGGATGCAGCTGTTATGTGGAGAACGCCATCCACATACCCACTCAGTTAGAGGCTTTCTAGGAAAAAAAGGGCCGTTCCGGCTCTGGAACGAAGTTCGAGGAGGGGAAACTGGAGGTATAGGAGAACAGTCTTCTACGAGCTCTAGTCAACCTTGGTGATAGCTGAGACGTTTGCTATCAGAAATTTTTTGCAGTTGGGGCTAGAGAGTTGTAGCATCGGCAGTGTCTCAGGTGGACTCTCACCTGTTTGGAGGTCTTGCTCTTCACAGGGGTTTCAACCTGGGACAGTACCCCCAAAACCCTGAAATACATTAAGTAATCGAGCGAATTCCGGGCTAGATGCATGCGCAGCACTACGCGAAAGAGTTTATGACACCGACATTTTGCTCGTTTAACTAGACTAGCCGCTACCGATTGGACATGGCCATGTCTGCATTACCCAAGTATCCCAGCTCACCTGTTTTATTGTGGAAATACCATTCGAGAGTGGGTTTCCTCACCTCTTTCGCGGCGGAACGAAATTCTACAGTGCATTTTA